CCCCCCGCCGTGCTGGGGGGTGAATCCCCCATCCCTTCGGGGCTTCCCCATGGGCTCCCTTGCTCCTTGGCCTTGTATTCCCATCCCTCTCCCGGTGGCTCTCGTCCCTAGCAGGAAGGAGCCGCTTTGAAGTTTCTCCCCGTGGGCAGGGGAGGAGTTGAGCCCCTTTCTGTGCCTTTTTCCGGGAGCCTCGGTGGGAAATGTTTCCAATTAAAATTCCAAAATGGCTCCTCGGCGCTGTCTGGCGGCGCAGGGGGGGAGGAGGAGGACGAGGACGAGCCTTTTTCATGAATGGATGTGGCAGGAGCTGTCTGTCCTGCTCGGTGACCCCGCTGCAACCGCCGAACCCACCAACAAAGTTTCCAGGAGGCCTTTCGAATGAAACCATTTGTCAGTGTCAGATACCGGTGGCTCAGCTCCGGTTTAATATCGCCTGGAAAGGAGGTAGATCCGTGGTTTTTTTGCTTCCCTGCCTCTGCCTTCTTTCCCAAACTACCGAGCCAAGGAGCCGGAGAGAAGGATTTGGGAGCAACGTGTGAGGGGTCCCATCCCGAGCCCGCTGCGGTTTGGGTGAAGAACAGACCTGTGACACTGCTCTGTCACAAAACATTTTTGTAGTGCTGAAATAAATGTGAGGATCGCTCTTTGGCAGAATTTCTGGCCTTTTTTCCTGCTCGAAGGGGAATTATTTTATTGGATTTTAGTGCCCGAGCTGGGTATAGGGATGTTCTTGCTTTATCTTTTCAGAGGCAGATGCTTTTGCGCTTTTCTGACTAGGTGGCACAATAACTCTTGCCTAAACTGCCCCAGACCCGTGTTTCTGAGAAGCTGAACAAAGCAAGGTTGTCTCCTGCCACTGATTTTTATTTTTGGATATTTGTTTCTTTTGAGATTGAGGTTTGGCCCATATTTATCACAGGCAATATCAGAATCCGTAAGAAACACTCTGGTTTCCTGGGACCTGGTTGCTCAGTAGCAGTCTGCCCAGGGAGGATGAGGAAGCAGGGAGATGCCTTTCATGGTGGAAGTTGAGGGTGTACCAACTTTTTGCTTGCGAAGTAATGTGCACATGTGTCCTGGTAGAAGGATTTTCCACTCTGAAGAATTAACCATCATATTCTCTCTGCCTCTCCCCTTCCCTCCCTCCTTTCCCCCTTCCCAGGTGGCTTTAACAAGTTTCAGACCGAGTATTCGGAGCACTGCGAGACGAACCTTGACAGCTCCTCACCCAGCAACTCTCCCCCAGCATCGGTCCTTGGACTGGGAGGGCTGCGGATAAGCTCCGACTGCTCGGATGGCGAATCTGACCGGGAACCCAGCAGTGCCACGGAGTCAGACGGGAGCCCCATCCCTAACAATCAGCCTGCCTTTCCGGTCCAGATCCTACCTTACCTGTACCTGGGCTGTGCCAAAGATTCAACCAACTTGGACGTCCTGGGCAAATACGGCATTAAATACATCCTGAATGTGACTCCCAACCTGCCAAACATGTTTGAGCACGATGGAGAGTTCAAGTACAAGCAGATCCCCATCTCAGATCACTGGAGCCAGAACCTCTCGCAGTTCTTTCCTGAGGCCATTGCTTTCATTGGTAGGTAGTTGGCACAATGTCTTTTTTTTCCTACTCACTGCTTGGGAATGTGGCAAGCAGCTTCCCAGGGCTGTTGCTCGTCTCAGCCCCGCGCCTCTCCGGGGCACAGCATCAGCGCTAGCTTAGCAGCTGAGCATCGTGCTGCCGAGGTGACGCTTGTGTGGTGTCACCCTGGCTGGGTTCAGGCAGGCCTTCCTTTCCAAAATTCAGTCCCTGCACAGCACCTTGCTGGCTTACCTGCAGGTGGTAGAACTGGCACCGGGGTCTCTTGCCCTTGGATGGGGATGTGTGCTTGTGTGGAATGGCTGAACCGAGGCCGTGGGGAGCGCCTTTGCCTGGGCTGCTCTGAGGAATGAGTCTTGACGGGAGTTGCATTAACATGACTGGTGCCAGCACTTCCTTAGCCCCAAGTGTGGTTAAAATCTGGGGAGATGTGGGTGGGATGCCTTCGTTTCCCAAAGGGTTTTCCTAGTCTTGTTGTGATCCCGCTGTAAGTCGCCCTAGCGTAACTATCTCCTTGTATGGATACTTCTAAGGTAAGTGTCAACACAATGAGTTAGCGATTATAATTATGCTGCAGGGCTCAGCTGGAAAAACTGCTGTGCAGACAACCCCTGACACGGCTTTGGCTGCGTGGGGAGGGGTGCGAGGGTGCAGACCTCTTCTCCCAGGCTAGTTTTGGCTTTGAAAATGGCTTCTGTGAGAAGTGTCTGTCGGGCTGAACAGGGATGTACAGGTCCAGCATGACCCATGCTGTCTGCTGCTGCTGGTCGTTAGCCTAATTGGCTCTGGTTTACGAGGGCTGGATGGCACAGGTAGTCATTACCACTGCTAACTATTAAAAGCCCTATGGCTTCCTATCTGGTTAAAAACATGGGTGTAGGAGAAGGTGAGGGGGACCTTTACCTGAGATCTGTGCAGCCAGCTTCGATGCTGCCTTGTTACCCCGGCTTTGGGCCCTGCTGCTCGCCGTGCTGGAGGGTCTGAAACTGGGCAGAGCGGTGGTAGGTCCTCATGTGCTTTTTGGCTGTCAGAAACCCTGGTTCCCACGCGCTCTCCTTTGCCCCCGGCTTCTGTCCTCAGTAACACAAAAGCGGCTGAACCTGTCTGATGTGTCCTCTACACAGGGCAGGGTATTAAACCTCAGGAGTGAGGTATGGGGGTCCCTGCTGGCATGTGGCATTTTAATCAAATGTTTATATTGTTAGGATTGGGATCCGTCTGCTCCAGTCAGACAGTGTCTCTGTGAACACGGCGCTTGTGCTTTCCAGCTAATGACAGGAAATGGAGGATTACCTCACTCTAAAACCAAACACCAAGAAATGCGGCACAGGTCAGATGAAAGGCAGAAAAGTCTCAGAAAAATGTTGGATGGGCTGGGTACACTGGGGGGCAATTGCCCATTGTGCTGGAAATTCTTGCCTGGTTTTGGAGGCTGGGGCAGAAAACCTGTTGTGGCTTGGGTCTGGATTTTGTTTTGCCTACATCTTCTTTCCCTTTCCCTGCACTCGTAGTGCCGGTGTCTCTTACCTCCGGCTTTGCCCGAGGATCCTGGTTCTCCTGCCACCTTCTCCCTCCACGCTCAGCTCTCAGTCAAGTGACTGACTTCAAATAGGGCTGCTCAGAAGCAAGCAGCGCCGGGTACTTGCGCGCTGCGCATTCAACGCTCTCAGCGGCGTGTCCCTCTTTCAGCACTAAGATGTCAATTCATAAAGGGATCACGCTGTTCTGGCTGTGCGAGAGACAATGAGTGTGTGTGTGCTTTTCAATCGGTGGCAAGGGAGGGGAAATTTCGTCGCTGTTCTCTGGCATTTTTTTGGTCCAGC